TCTCATCAACATTTCTAGCTCTCTATCTCTCTCCCTTTCTCTCTGTTAAAAATCAATAAAATATATTTTTTTAAAAAAGAATTTACTCATTTATTCAATGACAATAGTGTCATCATCTTCTGGAACATCATCATAACAATCCAATTCCTGAATTTCCTGGTAAATTTCTTGTGACTCCATTTCTTTCAGAATCAGTGGACCAAACCTCTCATGTTTAGCCTGGGGGCTATTTTCGGGGAGATGCCTTATATTTCACTCAGGAGGAAACCTGTAAGTAGGTCTTATTTTCGGAGGATGTCTTATTTTCAGGGAAACACGGTAGTAATTCCTTTAAGATGTCTGTGAGAGGTACCTATAACAACTAGAGTGAGCCCTAATCCAATATAACCGGTGTTTTCAGAAGAAGAGAACATTAGAACATAGACACACAGCGAAGGCACAGGAAAAGATAGCTGTGTGCGAGATAAGGAGAGAGGCTTCAGAAGAAACCAGCCTTGCCAACAAAATTGATCTCACGTCCGGCCTTCAGAACTCTGGAACAATGAATTTCTGTTGTCGCAGCCGCACAGACTGTGCTACTGTGCCGTGGCAGCCTTAGAAGACTAATGCAGGTGCTAACTGTCAGGCATTTGTCTCTGAAGCCGGACCAAGGAGGAATTCTTTGGGATGGTTCCCCAACGAAGCAAAACAAATCAGACCTAGATGATTTCCAGTTATTCAAGTCTGCGAATAACCAGAATAAAACAGGAATTTGTCCACGCTTGGATTAGATCTGAACTTTCAAAAAAAATTCTAAACCTTTCCCAAAATAAGTTTGGATCCGTGCCTTACGTTATATTCAGAAGGGAACTCACCATAAAGACCTAACTGTAAAAAGTAAAAGGCTAATAAAGCAAAATGTAGAAGGAAGCCAGTTTTTCAGCCTATGAGTGGATACAGACTTTTGAACGTGAAGCTAAATCTTGAAATCGCTATGTCAAAATTGAAGACGTGTGGTTTAACCATGTGCCGGTGTTTCTGGGGAAACAATACAGCCGTTAGGCTTTGGGGAAAGGACAGTGTGCTCCCCTGAGCCAGGGGGAGCTGGCTTACAGAGACAGGAGTCCCCATCCTTGGTCCTTGATTGGTCCATCTTCATGTAAATGAGGACTCTGAATCCTCAAGGTTAGATGGGTCCAAAAGGCGCTATCTAATGGGTCAGAGCTGCCCAGCTCCCATTGGACTGGGAAAACCTCAGTCCTGCTGGTTGACATAGGATTCCAGGAACTCCTTCACAAGGGTTGGCTCAGATGGCAGAAACACAGTGCAGCCGGCCTTTCGGTGCAAAAGCAAATAGTCCGGTGCAGGTTTTTCCCTGAAGTGCACTTTGCATGAGAACCCCTATGTAGAAATAGCTGCTAGATCTGTCTGTTTTCTTTTTTTTTTTTTTTTAATATATTTTATTGATTTTTTTACAGAGAGGAAGGGAGAGAGATAGAGAGTTAGAAACATCGATGAGAGAGTCATCAATCAGCTGCCTCTTGCACGTCCCCCACTGGGGATGTGCCCTCAACCAGAGTACATGCCCTTGACAGGAATCAAATCTGAGACCCTTCAGTCCCCAGGCTGGTGCTCTATCCACTGAGCCAAACTGGTTTCGGCTGTTTTGTTTAATTTTTAATTTGAGATCAGTTGGTACCAGAGCCTTTCTTAGTAGGTTCCTTATTTCTCCGGGTTCATAACGGATAACCCAGAAAAAAGTGAACAGACAGACTAGGGAAGATATCTGTAACATAAAGACAAGGGAGAATAATATCTAGACTATTCTCCCCCTCAAAAAAATCAAAACAAAATAAAAAATATGCAAATCAACAAGAAAATAATGCAGTACCCAATAGGAAAATGAGCAAAGGATATGAACAAGTAAATCTCAGTAAAAGGCCAGATATCAAAACAAGAATAAGGAGAAAAGCTCAACCCCATTAGCAACAAAAATACTGTAAGATTAAACATCAGTATTCCACGTTGTCTGTTAGAATTGCAAAAACCAGAACCCTGGATAAGACCCAGTGTTGCAGAGAGCATAGGAATGACAAAAGCTGTTGCAGAGTCTGTTGCAGGGACTGTGAACGAGCCCATTAGTTCTGCAAAGCAGGATACCAGGAGGATACCTCTCTTAGCATTCTTGGGAGGGTGTTTCCAGGAACCCTACAGACACCCAAATCTGCAGGAGTTCAAGTCCCCTGGGTAAAATGGTGCAGATCGATGCATGCAGTTGACCCTTCGCATTTGCAGATACCCAACCGTGAAGCAAAAAATACTATTTTCATTCTGCTGTTGGTTGACTCTTTAAATACTAAACCCGGGGATACTGAGAGCTGACTGTATATGTATTGAGAAGGAAAAAAAAATCCACATACAAGTGGACCCAAGCAGTTCAAACCTTGCTGTTTAAGGATCAACTACATAAATTTAACATATTGCGGTGATTATCTTATGGAGGAGAGGGAAAGGGGGGCGGGGGGATAGGACTTAAGGGGGGAAAATAAATTAGGGTCTTGCATGCACTGATGATGCTATACTAAAAATCAAGGAGCATAATTAGCCTACTTCTGCATCTGAGATTTAAAGACACACGCACACACCCTACCCCACCTCCCACCCCCACCCCAAATTACTCCTGAATTTATTTCAGCACAATATTCTACAAGCCACATCTGCAATGGGAAATGCTAGTAAGACTGTCAAATCTCATTAAACCCTTCTGCTATCACTGTCTCAAATGGTTCACAACTGGGGGCAATTTGAGTTCTCCTCTCCCCCGAGGGGCATTTGTTGTTGGCAATGTGTTGCCAACCTGGGAGAGGGGTGCCCACCACACTGATCAAGCCACCGCCCCCCCCCCCCCCCCCCCCCCCGCAAAGAAGCCATGCCAAGCTGAGAGCCTGGGGCGGTCTTTCTAAGTCACCCATTCGGAGGCGGTTGGGAGGGGCTGACCAGATGCTCCTCCTTCTTTCCCCTCTCACTCTGCCCACACTCCCCTCCATCAGCCCCTTCCACTCCCCTTTCATTCCCGCTCAAGGGCAGTCTACTGTGTGATGCCTGGTAGTCACTGATCCCCCTGGTAGTCACTGATCTACTTAAACATCACAGAGTCTACTTGCTCCTGTCAAGACTGTGAATGGAGGCAGCTGATCGTAAGCCTTTCCTAAGGAAAAGCAACTGCTAAAATACCTCTCACTCCTTTTGCTTTTCTCTCTCACCAGTGGCTCCTACAGAGACCCATCTATTAGTAGAATTAGGACGAGCATCCACTTTAAGATCCACTGAGGGCCTCTTCTAACTACTCATGAACTTGGCGAAGCAGCTAAGTGTCCTAGGACAGTCAGAAAGAACAAACTAAACGGGGGGAGGGGGGCACGGAGTGGGGGTGGGGGGGTAGATTGTGATGGCAGCCACAGAGGGACAAGCTTGTGCCACAGTGGGGGTGGGGGCACTGAGCTTCATCTATGTGGGGGCTGGGGCTAGGGCCCTCCCCTGAAACAGGAGAGAGAAAGAGGAATAAAGAGGGAATCCTTCTGACTTTTCAACGGAACTCCAAAATCCCCTGAGCAGCAGAATGGGCCTAGCACAGGCCAGGTGAGACGTGAGTTTAAACGAAAGAGTGATTTTTCGGATAATGGAGACTACTAACCATTGAGATTGAATGCTGTGGATGTCCTGCCCTGCTGAATTTTGTTTCTTTCCTTTCTTTCTTTTTCAGGGGCTTGAGTATACAGTATAATATTATAGTCCAATGTAGGCGAAGGGTCAGCCTGAAGTTCTCATGTATTTCCCTGACGTTTTTATCAATTACCTTGTCCCTAGGGGACTGCTGACATTCTGGCCCTTCAAAACACCTTGATTTTTGTCCTTAATGTTAATAGTAGTGATGGCGGGTTTTTATCTTATTTTTGCTTTAAAGAGAGAGAGAGAGAGGGGGAGAGAAAAATTTGGAAAATCTCTAGAGAGGCATTATTCTCTCCAATTATATTCAGTCCTAGGAGTAGGAATATGAATGTTTATTTCTAAGGTCTTTTTTCTTCTCCAGATTTCTTTTTTTAATTCCTTATGAGTTATTTGGACTTGAATTAGTTTTCCTAAAAGTAAAAAAAAAAAAAAAAGAAAGAAAAAGTCAGGAGAGAACAGAGGTAGGAAACAGTGGGCCCAGTTGCACATTAAACTATGTCCTCTCTCCAGCTCCCCAGAAATGAAATACATGGTCCCTCCTCCTCCTTTAGAAATCAGCCTCCTGTCTCTTTAAGGAACTGACAGCGAGCAGGGGGCGGGCCTCCGGCGTGACCGAGGCTCTGATTGGCCCCTCGGGGCGGAAGTGCGCGGTGACCGCGCAGCGTCTGTGACGGTCCGCGGCCGCGGGGTGAGAGGCCGGGCCGCCCAGGGCGGGGCTTGTGGGCCCGGCGTGGCCGTTACTCCCGTCGCGGCGGCGGGGCCGGGGTGCGGGACGGGGCCCCTGCTTCGCGGTGGGTGCGGGGCGCCGGCGGCCGGGCGGCCCCTCCTCGGGCCGGGGAGGGGGCGGGGTTCGGGGCCAGGCGGGAGAGGGGGCGGGCCAAGGAGGGGTGTAGGGGAGGGGGCAGGGTTCGGGGCCGGGCGGGGGCGGAGCCTGGCCGGGGAGGGGTGTGGGGAAGGGGGCGGGGTTCGGGGCCGGGCGGGGAGGGGGCGGGGGAGGGGGCGGGCCGGGAAGGGGTGTAAGGGAGGGGGTGGGGGGAGGGGAGGGGGCGGGGTTCGGGGCCGGGCGGGGGCGGGGAGGGGCCGGGCGGGGAGGGGCCGGGCCGGGGAGGGGTGTGGGGAAGGGGGCGGGGTTCGGAGCCTGGCGGGGGCGGGGCCGGGGGGTGGGGAAGGGGGCGGGGCTCGGAGCCTGGCGGGGGCGGGGCCGGGGTGGGGAAGGGGGCGGGGCTCGGAGCCCGGCGCCGCCCCCGCCCCTCACACCGGCTCTCCCCGCCCGCAGGCTGGCAGCCGGCGCCATGGCGCAGCGGGCCTTCCCGAACCCCTTCGCCGACTACAACAAGTCCCTGGCCGAAGCCTACTTCGACCCCGCCGGCCGGGTGAGTCCGCCCCTGCCCGCACCGTCCCCCCGCCGGCCCCGGGGGGAGCTCCGGGCGGCCTGCAGGGCCTGCGCAGCCTTAACACACACACACACACACACACACACACACACACACACACACACACAGAGCGATGGAGGCCACGTGATACAACATGCATGTTACATTGCACAGTTTGAGCCGAAACCGGTGTGGCTCAGTGGATAGAGCATCGATCTGCGGACTGAAAGGTCCCGGGTTCGATTCCCGTCAAGGGCATGTACGTTGGTTGGTTTGGGGCACATCCACGGTAGGGGATGTGCAGGAGGCAGCTGATCCATGATTCTCTCTCATCCATGTTTCTAGCTCTCTATCCCTCTCTGTAAGAAATCAATAAAAAATACACACACAATTTGAGCCCTAACGTGGAATATCTATAAGGAATTTAACATTATTGAAGCAACCTCAGTCATTACTGTTTTTGCATTCTAAAAAACAGGCGGACATGCAGTGTGCCGTGTTATTTTTGATCCTTTTTATTTGCTTTTTGAAGTGAGGTGCACATCCTGGCGGTGTTCCACATGCGCCCCGTTAATTGAAGTAGTGGCGGGGTGGTGCTGACACTGGAAGATGTGGTAAAGACATCTTCCCACGGAAAGTGCCAGGACAGATGTGGGACCGGGGCCTGACATTCTTCGTACCATTTCCCCTCTGTATAGGACATGCCCGCAGCTGACACACGCCACTGACTTAAATTGGTTTGCAGTTCACAAACGACGGTGCAGAGAGAACCTGGATATGGGATACCAGAGGCCTGTGGTTTCTCTTTTTGATGAAACTATTGTTAAGAGAGAATGGAATTCTCTTTAAGAATACCTAGCCGAAACTGGCTTGGCTCAGTGGATAGAGCATCGGCCTGCAGACTGAAAGGTCCCAGGTTCTATTCCCGTTGCGGGCACATCCCCAGGAGAGGCAGCTGATTGATGTTTCTAACTCTCTATCCCTCTCTCTTCCTCTCTGTAAAATATCAGTTAAAAAAAAAAAAAATATATATATATATATATATATATATATATATATATAAAATACCTAGTTGAGAAACCCTAAGAGTGAGTTAGATTGGATAAGTGCACACAATTTTTTAAAATTTTTACCAGTTTCTTTCTTCTAAACTCAGTCATTTGAGAGCATTTCACATGTGGTATAATGGCCTTAGATTTGTCATATCTGTCAAGTTAACTTTATGTGGCTTTGTTGCTTTGTTCCTTAAAGCACTCATCCGTGTAGATAAACTTGGGCCAGCGTTGCTGGAAGGAGGGAGGTCACAGATGGACAGGGGTGTAGGATAGAAGGTATAGGATATATAATTGATTTCAGAGAGGAAAGAAGAGGGAGAGAAAGAAACAGCAATGATGAGAGAGAATTATTGATTGGCTGCCTCTTGCATGTCCCCCACTGGGTATCGAGCTCAAACCCCGGGCATCAAACCTGGGACCCTTCAGTCTACAGGCCAATACTCTATCCACTGAGCAAACCAGCTACGGCAATCTGATTCTTTTAAGACCAAAACTGAGCTGCCCAAACAAAGCTGCTTATGATTATCATATGATTATATGAGGTAGATAGAGTCCTTTGGGCCATTTGGCCCTGCGTTCTGCATTCTTCCTCGCTCTGCAGATCCTGGAGCCGAAGTACCCGTCTTGTCTTGTTGGAGGAGGACATGCTGTTTCATGACCACTTGGCAAAGAGAACACTGGAGGAAATACCTAATGACACCAGCCTTCAGGAACATGCACCTCACTACTTAGGCTACTTATAAATTATGTGCTTTTTCTCCCTTGTTTCTAAGGGAAAAAAAAAAATTAATAAATTTAAACTCAGGTCCAAAGATATCAATGTAATTTATTACATAACACATGGTTTTTGGACAAATCTCTAACAGAAACTAGCATACAGGTTCTAAAAGGGTTTAACATGAACACCAAGGATGAGATCCTGGAGATCTGTTCTCCTTATTTTGTTAACATACACATTAATAAGGAACTGCTCTGTCTTCCGGCATCTATCAGAAAAATGGGGGGGAGGGGCTTTTAGAGACTCTTCAAGTATTGCTAGAGTTTGAATAATTTTGCGTCTGCCCCAAGTAATCAGTATCCTCAGGCAGGTCACCCTTATTGAGAGCGGTTCTGTGCCAAATAGAAAGTAACTTCCCTTCCTGGGGCATTCTTGTTATCCTTGGTCCTTTAAGGCCAAGAAAGATGATCAATTACCCATGATCAGAAGATGACATGTTCTCATGTAGACACACTCTTCCATCTAGTGGAGATTTATAGAGCTTTCATATTGATATTGAAGTCTATTTTATCTTACTGAATGTGTTTTTTTAAGACTTATGGAAATCTTAACCTCTTGGCGGAAATTGTTAAGTAATGGGAGTGTGTCCTTCACACAATGTGGTTTCTTCAGTGTGAAATAAGGAATCATTGAGGTGCTTTGGAATAAATAATCCAGAGGTGGTTGATAGTCTGATTTGCCTTAACAGAGATGATCTTCAGAAGTAAAACTTAACATCTTATTATTAATAACTAGTGGCCTGGTGCATAAAATTCATGCACAGGAGGTGTGTCCTTCAGCCCCGCCTGCACCCTCTCCAATCTCGGACCCCTCGGGGGATGTCCGCCTGCTGGTTTAGGCTGCAGGGATAGGGCAGTTTGACATCCCCATTACAATCTGGGACCGCTGGCTCCTAACCACTCACCTGCCTGTCTGATCGCTTCCTAACTGCTTCCCTACCAGTCTGATCACCCCCAACTGCCCTCCACTGCTGGCCTGATCACCTCCAAGGCTTTTATTAGTAGAGATTCTATATAGCCTTTTTTCACTATGTCCTTTTTAGAAAATGAGATTATGATGCCAACAGGTAGTAGTTAGGTTTGTTTTTACAACTCTTACATGATGAAATAAAATGTACCTTGTAATGTTCCCCAATATTGTTTGGAAATTTGACTGCTTTGTGAAATACAAGTCTAGGAATTAGAGTCCTTAAATTATTAAAGTGACCTTTTAAGATACTTCATGACTTAGTGTATACAGAACTTTTGAAATACTTTTCTGTTGCATTTAGGACAAATGACATGATGATCACGTGGTTCTCACAGTTTGCCCAGCATCTGTGGGTCTGTCTTCATATGGATGTCACTAATCCCAAAGCCTCACCCTTAGTGAGCTTCAAACCACCTGCAAATTATTACTTATTATAGACCATGAACTGTTAAAAGATGTTTATTTTTATAAATGGATTTTTATAAATGTTTATCCTCATTTTTAGAATACAAAACCAATTTCTTTAGGGAATTAACATTGGTGCAACTTAAATACCAAAAATCCAGTGTCTTGAAAACAGCAAACATTTTCTGATTTGCGGTTAATTTGATAAAATGATGTTTATTATAATAAAAGTGTTAGTTTCACTAATAGACGATCTCTACTAGATGGAAATTTCTGTGAACCAGTTTGTCTTTGGTCTGTTTCAGCATTTGATTAAAACTTTTATGTAAAACACTGAAGTTATAGCAAGAATACACTCCACTCTTGAGCAGTGCAGGGGGTTAGTGACAAGACCTCCCGAAAGTCAGGAGTGGGAGTGTGACTACAGTCGGCCCTCTGCATACTCGATTCCCAACCTCGAGTTGCCCCTTGAACAACACAAGTTTGAGCTGCACAGTCAAGTGAAAAAAACACGTAATGATGGACCTGCACAGTTCAAACCTGTGTGTTCAATGGTCAACTATATTTCCTGCCTTGAGTTTTGTTTTGTTTCTTCATTGTTGTTTAAAAATAAAATATAGTAAGTCCTACCTGTGGCTTTAAGCAAACCAATTTATAAGAAAACCAGAAGCTCAGTGATGTAAACAAGGGTTAAATCGCTACAGCATATTTCTGGTCTCAAAGACATCACCAAACTTCTAAAGAAAGACCCAAACCACTTCTAATACTAAACACTGAAATAATTGTGAGCTATATATACATTAATAAAAAGTCTGATGATTCTTCTACAACCCACTTAATCAGGTTCAAGGTCGGGGGTCGGGGGAGCCTCTCCTGGCAGCTCAGGGCGCAGAGCAGGAACCCACCCTGGACAGGAAGCCCTTCCGTCCCACATACACACACACGCACACACACGCACACACAGGCACACACATGCACACACACGGGGACAATGCATATGCCACTTCCTTCACATGCACATCTTTGGGATGTGGGAGGAAACAGGAGTTTCCAGAGAAAACAGACTGTGGACCTTGCAAGAATTGATTTTTTTTTTTCCTTATCATTGTTCTAATGAAATAACATTGAATGATGACCTGTTGTAATTGTCCAGTTCTCCCAGGCAGAAAAATGTGGCCTAAGTGGAAATAAAGTACCATCCTGTTTTTGATAGCTATAGTCCAAGAAGTCAGGTGGCCCATTTATTTTGATGTTTGTTTTCCTCTTCATATCTACAGCTGACTCCTGAGTTCTCACAGCGCTTGAACAATAAGATTCGAGAGCTTCTGCAGCAAATGGAGAGGGGCCTGAAGTCAGCAGACCGTCGGGATGGCACTGCTTACACTGGCTGGACAGGTATGAAGTGCTGACTGAGCTGGTGCACGCATGGCAAGAGGGAGCCAAAGCATTACCTTTGTAGAGCAGTCAGACTCAGTGCCCCTAAGAGCTTCCTGCATCTGCATATGAATGACCGCTGTGCTCTCAGCAGGCCTTGGTATCCTGTGGTCTTCACAGTGCTCTGAACTTAGGAAAGGATATGCACATTCCTGGAATTCAGGCCTGCCACAAAAGCAGGTGGCTGCTGAACATGTGAAGAGAAAAATTGATGTTCAGCATTACCTGGTTAATTTGGAGATGCAATTTCAGTGGGAGAAGGCCCACAATACAGTGTGTGAAGTGGAGGTAAGGAGAATTTATCTACAGCAAGTAAAACATGTTCAGAAGCGCTTGCATAAAAATTGCCACATAACAGGGAGCCATACAAAACACAGGGTAAAGCATAGATTCCGTGGACAAATCCTTCCTTATAGTCTTGGCTTCTTGGTTTGCTTTCATGGATTTACCCATCATTGAGAGGTTGGGGAAAATTTGGGAAGGAATGGCACATAGGTGACAAAAGGTAAGAGAGAGAAACCAAAGCAGGAAAGTTGAAGAACTGCCATTAGTCCACTAATGTGGAGAAACGGAAAGACCGTTTTATATTCTTGAAGAAAGCACAGTTCTATGACTCACCATTGCCATTATTCATATTCCATATGTAATCTTTCAGGGACATGGAAGGTCATCCTATATAATAAAAGACTAATATGCAAAATGACCCGACGGTGGAACTACTGTATGCTCATTGACCACCAGGGGTCAGACACTCGATGTAGGAGCTGCCCCCTGGTGATCAGTGTGCTACCATAGGGGGAGCACTGCTTAGCCAGGTCCTGGGCTCACGGCAGTAGGACCTCCCCCCTCCAAATGCTCGAATTTCATGCACCGAGCCTCTAGTTCCTTATAAAATAAGAGGAATTCATAGGCCCTCCTTCCTCTTACAGTTTTGTTTTATGATTTTTATGACTTCTATGGATTTTAGAAACTTAACACAAAAAAACGTTAAGATGAGAATAAAATGAAAGTATTGCTTCAAAATGGAGGTTATAACAGTTGTCATTTATTCAGTATCTGTTGTGTTGTAGGTATACTGTAATTGGTAGTTAATCTTATTAATAAACACAACTATGCATTTTAAATTATGAGGATTTACAAAACAGGGCAAGTATAATGCAGTGGTCGTGCATTAACAAATGATCACTCTACATTAATATTCAAAAACAAGAATTTAGTATTTTAATAATAAAATATAATGAATAAATTTAGGTTCCCAAAGGAATGAGGATCATCAGTGTGCAGTTTGTGATCATTTGAATGTTGAAGGACAAGAGTAAAGATTAAAATACGATTCTTGTTAACAAAATGTTACTAGGATTGACATTTGAATGACAGAAGCCAGAGAGTGTGAACATGTATGCCAATAACTAACATTACAGGCCAGGCACCATCTAAGTGCTTTACATTAATTAACTAAAGTCTCAGAAGAACTCCATGGCATGGATACTATTCATAGTCCCTTTTCACAGATGAGAAGAATGAAGCAGAGCAAGACTGAATATCTGTTCATGGTTACAAAGCCAGTGAGTGACAAAGCGAGGATTAAGCCCAGCAAGCCTGGCTTCAGAGCTCCTGCTCTTACCAAGAGAGGTGTATACAGAGAGAGTGCAATGAGCGTGTGTGTGTGTGTGTGTGTGTGTGTGTGTGTTTACTCCACTTTTACATTTGAGTTTACAGCACTTTATTAGTGAAGATCTACATATAAGCTCTCATATGAAGTAATTTAAGCAATCACAACACAATGATACTCAAGTGTACACACTTTTTAGAAGTGGCTAATGACCAGTCAGTTTTAAGTGTTATAGAAAAGCCCTGATAAAACATTATAGGAATTTGGAAAGAAAGGAATTTGGAAATAGCTTGTTAGACAGACAAGCATACTTACTATTTAAAAGTCTATAGGAGAAAGTTATTAGGGATCGGACATAAAGTAAACCCTGGAAGAATTGTGGGCATTTGCAGCTGGAAAAATGAGATCTCCATTGTGGTTCAATAGACCGTGTTTTCCTTCCTAATCCTGAATTAACATATTAGCATGGTTTTTGGATAGAAAATTAACTAGGCCAAAACGGGAGCTTTTCCTTGTAATTGCTAGTATTTGAAAAGGCTTACTGAGGATCTTACGTGAAATATCACCCAAGTCTGAAATCAAACTTGCAATAAACATCTTTAGTTCTGATCACCAAAAGCCTCCTTTATAAAATTTGTACATTGAACTGTAACGCATCATGATATATTTTTTTAAAATATATTTTATTGATTTTTTACAGAGAGGAAGAGAGAGGGATAAAGAGCTAGAAACATCAATGAGAAAGAAACATCCATCAACTGCCTCTTGCACACCCCCTACCAGGGATGTACCGGCAACCAAGGCACATGCCCCTGACTGGAATCGAACCTGGGACCTTTCAGTCCACAGACTGACGCTCAACCACTGAGCCAAACCAGTTTCGGCATCATCATGATATTTTTATGTGACATATACCAGCAGTAAACATTTTGTTCATTTTTAGCCTTACTTTTTTTCTGGTAGATCATCAGGAGTTCTTTATAGTACATGCTCCCAGTTTTGGGAGCAAGGGAAGCATTTAGATTTTCTGGGTGCCTCATCAAGAACTATTCTATGGTATATCTGTGCACATAACAGCAGACAGTGCAGAAACCTAGCAGGCCGGGAGGCCCCTGAAGGTCACACCTGATGACCAGCTATGGAGTGGTCCGAGGTGGTGTCCAGGGGTCTGTGGGAATCACTCCAGAGCATAACCCCCCTGCAGGAGGCTGCGCTGGACTTTGTTCCAGCTCAGTTGTAGGTTCTAAGGGGCGAAGGCTTTAAAGTTCCTTATAGAATGGAAAGCACAAAACACTGGTGAGGAATTGTTGTTATAGGATTAAATGGGTAAATGAAATATTCTTGTGTTAGAAATAAACATTGAGAATAAAAGATGTCTTTCCTTTCAGGTAACTTGGTAAAAAGGTTAAGTAAACCCAAGAGATGGCTGATCTCACTAGTGTCTCTAAGAGAGAATGAGGGAAAGTGCTAGCCTTCATTAAATTTCATTTTTCTCTCTCTTAGCTGTGATGATTCCTAAGAGAAATGATAATCAACTCACACTTGGAGGGGAAAATGCACAAGGCTCCAGAGGATTCAGTTCTAAAAGACATGACCGAATCTTCTGTAACCAACTCGCTGTGTTAATGAGGCTGAGAGTGGCATATAGTTCCTCTTTTCAAGTATTAGATAGCATTTTAAGTAAGAGGATATGCAGCATGATCCCAGGAGTCATATTAACTTGCGCTCTAAATGTAAGTCATTAAAGTATTTTGAGATGCTGTTCCTCTGATCTGCCAAATGTACAGCTTTGAGCTACAGCTTTAGCATGTGGTCTTCGTCTCTGCCGATGGCAGGCTTATTTGAAAGGAATCGCTCTGGCCAGGTGTCTTTTCTGTGCAATTTGATCTCCTTTTAAGTCGCTCTTCATCAGAGCCAGCCTTTCAGTGTGTAAGCTGAGCCCTGAACAAGTGTCCTTCACCTTCAGGAGAAGCCCCTGTGACTCCCGGCAGGACTGGGAGGACAAGAAGGAGGGACCCAGGGAGTGGATTTGCACTGGGTTCTTGGAGCCCTGCACAGCGACCTCTAGTTAGATGAGTGCACCGGGAGTGTCGCCTGCTCTTTCTGCTGCACGTAATATGGTGTTGATGTTACCTTAGACTGCCAAGACACAAGGCTGAAACAAGCGTAAGGATAGGATACCGCCAGTGTGCTTGGGTGAGGCACAGAGAGCAGCACTAGAAGAAATGGCAGGAAGGAAAGAACGAAGACATATCGAAGCAATTAGATTTTTACAGACCAGAGACGGGCTGTGTCTTGTCATTTTCATTCTAGTTACTTCAGACTTAACACAATGGGCCAGGCCCATAGTTGGCGCTTAATAAATACATGTTGAATGGATGGGTGAATGGATGGATGGATACATTACAATTCTTGCTACCACTTATGCAAACTACAAACAGTACCTTAAAACTAGCTGGAATGGGGAAAGGATGGGAATTCACTGCAGTTCATATTGGTTGATCACATCTCTTTCCCTGCAATCCTAGCACACACATCAGAGCAACACTAACCAGCTAACTACCCAGCCAGGGCCCTGAGCTCCTGCTGCACTGAAGGACTTAACAGTCACGGCAGTCTGAATAAAAGACTAGGAGCGCTTCCTAATTTGACAGTTATGAAGCAGTACACTGCAGGGCACTGAGAGGAGGAGGAAAACATGACTTTAAAAAAAAAACAAAAAACATTTTAATTGATATTAGAAAGGAAGGGGGGGGAGAGAGAGGGAGGGAGGGAGAGAGACAGAGACAGAGACAGAGAGGAAGAGAGAGAGAGAGAGAGAGAGAGAGAGAGAGAGAGAGAGAGAGAGAGAGAGAGAGATCAGCTGCATCATGCATGCCCCCTTACCAGGATTCAAACCAGCGAGTTCTAAGTACATGGGACTACAGTCAAACAACTGAGTCACACCGGCCAGGGCTTTTTATTTTTTTAACCTCTCTTCTTATTGGACAGTCAACTCTGCAAATAGGTTCAGGAGCAAAGAAGACTCATCTTCAGAGTGCTCGCTTACCCTCTTTAACTTCCAGTCCACTCCTTTCTTTGGAGCAACATTAAGTTAAGGCTGTGGACACCCAACTGGTTTCCTCCAGATTGTCCGTATTAAAAGTACTGGGAGGCCGAAACCAGTTTGGCTCAATGGATAGAGCGTCGGCCTGCAGACTGAAGGGTCCCAGGTTCGATTCCGGTCAAGGGCATGTACATTGGTTGCGGGCACATCCCCAGCAGGGGATGTGTAAGAGGCAGCTGATCGATGTCTCTCTCTCATCGATGTTTCTAACTCTCTCTTCCTCTCTGTAAAAAATCAATAAAATATATTTTTTAAAAATAATAAATAAAAGTACTGGGATATTTGACCAGCTAGCAGTGTCCACATACAGAGCGCTATGCCCGGTAACTACAGCGACTGGGTATGACAGCTATAATTTTGTCCAAGAAATGGAAACGCATGCTCTCAAACACACAAAATTGAGAAACAGTTATAAAATAACACATTATAAAGTACTAACCTGAAATAGGACAGATGATCATATTGTATGGGGTTAATCAGAGGAAATTTCATTTATATTTTCATAAATCTGAAAATAAATAAAAACATAGAAATTAATGAACATTTAAAGTTTTGACTAGTGAACCATTTGAAACTTATAAAAATCCATCACCCCTCCTGTAGGGAGTTAGTGTCTTCATGTCACTCAAACTGTAGTGACCCTTTACTGGGTGTTAGCTGAGCACCTCTAGTAACTCCAGCAGTCTGTGTCGCCTGAACATGATTTCTCCTACCAGAGTCCCTGAAGAGAGTCTTGAAAAGCCCCTGGCCTGTAAGGAAATACCTTACAGAGCTTAAGTACCATGGCAAAGATCTATACATCAGTGTGGACTGATTGCAGATAAATGAATAACATCTACTCATGTAGTCTCTGAATAATCTCTGAAATGTCAATTACAGAGAAGTATTTACATCTGTGGAGTTGTTTTTTTATCATCTCTATATACGTTTGAGAGTACCAGGTCTTGATTGGTCAAGATGAATGGAACTAATGATCCCTCAGAAATTGAAAGGCTTATTATTAATTACTTCTCAACAGCTGGCTATATTTATAGTCCTACTGGAGTAAATAGCTGAGTGAGGAAATTGCACATTTAGAAGTGTCCCTAAGCAGTTTACCCTCCCTTCCCCGAGAAGTAGCTACAGAAGGAAACAGAAGAGAAAAATCTAGGTCATTTCCATACTGAATTCCAGAATGGTTTTCTATTAGCGCAAAACTTTATCAGGTCTTCACTGTATATATTATTTTCTTTCAAGTTGTTGTCAACATGTCCAAGAGAAGAGGTTTCTAGGAGGGACTGTGAGGCAGTGTCTGTCTGGCTTCCTGAGCTGCTCATGCAGAATAGCATCTCCCTCTGTTCAGTGCAGTGCTGTGCTCAGACCTTTCCGTGGGGATGGAGAGGTTACTTCGCTGTCCACAGGGCAGCCACTAGCCACAGGGCTTTTGAGCATTTGATATGTGGTTAGTGTGACTGAAACAAAGGATTTTAAATGTTGTTTACTTTTAATGAAGTTTCTGTAAAGCTGAGCATGTTGGACGCCACAGTTTTGAGCAACCAAACGGCTCCAGGAGCCTAAGATCAAAATAATAAATGTCTGGGTTTCTTGTGGCCTCTCAAGACCACAAAGGAGGTGAGAAGCACAGTTTTTCTTTTTGTTTTTCAATCAAACACAATTCCCACTGCATTGGATCAATGAGTCTCATACTCCGGCTGCACTGGGTCAACACATTCCCCTCACATTTGGAGGACATTTATCCAACTTCTCATTCCTGAACTCTAAGCGCATATACCCAGCTGCCTGCTTGACCTGTCTACTTGGATATCTCCCTCTCAGGCATTCCCCACCAGGTTCCACTGATTTTACCTTCCGGACAGACTGTGTGGTTTACCTGCTGCCTCACTCTCCAGCTTCAAAAAGAGCTCTGTTCTTTAGCATGAGGCTTACCAGCGTGTGGGGATGCACCTGAAGTAACAGTGGCTTTTGTATATAGGCAGTCCGGGACAGCTCACAGTCCTTCGGGATTTAAGCTTCTTTGATATTGGTGCTTTCCCATCCTCATCACAGAACTGCTGCTTCAGGTCTAACATGGCTGCTCTAGCTACAGCCAGGAGGAAAGAAATGGCAAGTCCCCTCCATTCAAGAACATGGTCTGAAATTACTTCCATTTCTCCCACTATGTCTCATTTGATCAGAACTTAGTCACATGGCCATGCCAAGCTGCAAAGAAGACTGTTAGTGCCTAGCTAGAGTTCAGGGCATCATTGTTGAAGGAAAAGGGAGGTACATTTTGGGGGGGCCACTTAGCAGTCTCTGTCATGGTCTCATCTTTCAAAATGGATTGTGAGTCAAAATGTTTGATACAGAGAAATGAAGTGATAGGCACATAAGCATATTATTGTTAGAAATATGGAGGCAGACACTAGAGGAAATGACTAATATTATTGAAAGTGGTTGCCTCTAGGGGGCAGGAGTAGAGTGGGGCATGAGACTGCATATGTATAGTAAGCCTGGCAGTACTATTTAATTTCTTCCATAAAGAACATACTGTATTTTGATAAATTATATTAGAAAAGAGTGCTTTAGAGCAGAGGCTGATTCCAGAACCGAGAAATATATAGGAGGACTGGATGAGTTTTTCCTACATGAATATTGTCAGTGGTTGGAAAATTGTAAAAATCAGATTTAAGACATTTGGCCTCCTGAAGTTCCTCCATTATTTGCTGTTTGTTTTAATTTTTTTTTTAATGTATTGATTGGAGAGAGAGAAACATTAATTTGTTGTTGCACTTATTTATCCACTGATTGGTTGCTTCTTATATGTGCCCTGACCAGGATCAAACCTACAAAGTTGGCCTATCAAGACGATGCTCTAATCAACTCAGCTACACGCCCAGCATTAAGTTAGGGCATCTGGGTATAAAATGCTGATGAAGCATTGTCTTTGACTTAGGCATTTTATCTAATTTTTCCGACCTAGACAATATAATAAGCTTGTCCCATACTTTTTTCTAATAGGCCTCAGCACCCCCTCACTTGAATCCCTTTTCACCCTTAGGTGTTTTGTGACAAGGAAGGTAGACACCGTAAATTGCAACCTGGATGAGATTGCTTAATAAGCGGACACCGAGGCCCAGAATGAGGAGAGAAATAGAACCTGAAGTCCCAGAGGCCCTCTCTGTTGTCAGAGAGAAAAAAACAACAAAATATTTTATTTAAATAAAATATTGTGAGACTTGAGAAGTGATTACCCTCTTTTCATGAGAAATATATCAAACTTTACGATTGCAAAACTTCACGGGCTTTGTTTGTTAAATACTTGGGCCAAGAGGAATTGTTGATAATGAGAGAAAGGTCTGTAAAGGAAAGCAATCATTGGGCTTGTATTTAATCACTTTTTATTTTCTCAGATCTCAGTCATGTCATTAGCTGGCTTTGGCGCTTACATAACTTAATTAAGGGAGTTCAGGCAGCCACGGGAATAGGGGGGCAGAATGAAAGGGTAACAATTTAAACAGATTGCCTGCAGATGCCTGGTGTGGATGAGATGAAGCCCATTAAGAACCTAATTCTAGAAGAAGTTCTTGACATTGATCATTTGTGAAAAGGAGATTTCTTTTCTTACCCACATATGGGGTTTTGCACACTTACATCTATAAACCTTAAGCATTGGTACATCTGATCATCTCGGCTTGTGGAATTACTAATGCCAAGCCACTTTGAAAGAGCAGACAATGTTATTAACTTTGGCAGGAAATGAAAATTTGGTCTTAATATACATGTGAAATTGAATTGTCTGTAGCACAAAGCTTTGGAGATTACCCATGCAAAATGAGAAAACTACCTAAATTTAAAATTGTCTCAGTACAGTGAAAAGTAATTTTGCAGACTGCATTTTTACTGCATTGAAAATTTGTGGAGAGATTGGCTCTATTAATTTAGATTTAAACAGAGGCTCTCTATCTTTTAAAAATGGTAAAGGAGATGGAAAATGTACTTGGAGGAGAACAATGAGTTTCTAGAAATGCGGAAGGCACGCTCCCTGCGCCCCATCTCTGAGTCTGCCCTGAGACAGGACCCTTCGGAGGGAGGCCTCGGTGTGACAGGTATTGGAACAGGGACATACAGACAACAGCTCAATTACACACACGGCTTCAGGACTGGGACAGGCAGCCAGTTAAGGCTCAGAGCTGAAGTCATTGGCAGCTTTTATAACATAGTTCCTAAAGAAGCCTGTTTCTCAACTGAGAGAAAAAAATACAGAGGAACTTAATTCATTTCTCAATTCACTTCGTTTTCTTATAACCCCTGTCTGGAATGATACTTGGGTAGGGAATTTGATTACCACCTTCTCATGAAAAAAAAAAGAAAGAAAAATCTTATATCTGTAAGAGAAATTGAATTTTCATTCCCTAGTCTTCGAGTTTCTTTAGCTCACATGAACAAACATTTCTTGTTTATTATTAAGTAAATTATTATTTGTTAAATAAATAAGTGACTGTTTATTTGGAACCATAGTTTTGATAACCTATCATTTAACCATCAAGAATACATTAATGCAATAGTTAGAGTGCAACAAAGATTAATAATAAACTTCGATTTAGAGTTCTTAGAGAGTCTTAGAGTTCCTATTAGTTAGAGTTATGATGATGAGGAAACTTAGAAGACTGAAGTGTTTGCTGTGTCTGCTTCTTAGGGCTGCTTGGTAATAAAGCTGAGTCTAGAACTAAGGTCGTCTGAACACCCAGGCAGTTTACATATTTATTACAGCTTGTCAAAATCGGCACTGCTGAGTAGGCAGCACACCAAATAATACAGCCAGCTGCCCTTTTCTCACTTTGACATTGTGTTCCTTTCGCTTTTCAGGTATTGCTGTGCTTTACCTACATCTCTATGAAGTGTTCGGGGACCCTGCCTACCTCCAGATGGCACACAGCTACGTAAAGCAAAGTCTCAACTGTCTGTCCAAGCGCTCCATCACCTTCCTGTGTGGGGATGCAGGCCCGCTGGCGGTGGCCGCTGTGGTGTACTACAAGATGAACAATGAGAAGCAGGCAGATGATTGCATCACCCGGTAATCATGGTTCTTTTAACCGATTTGTATCTACCTGTTGTTATGCATTAATTCTACGCGTTATAAAAGAACATTTTAGTGAATTTTACTTTCCTCTCAGCAACAAAGCTTAGTACTGTCATTTGATCAATTCTTACATTTTTCTTATGTTATAGTTAAGGAGCAACCATTATCCCTATTTTATTGCAGAATATAATAACACTGACACATTCCAGGTCAAACATCAGTTTCAGTAACAATAATGATCAAAAGCCTACTTATAGGATTACTAACCCAAGGTACTATCCAAGATCAAGAGTTGTAAAAAATGCAGTTCATTTCCTGTGGTGGATTGAGAAAGGCCTCATAAGGATATACAAACCGATGCAAAATTGCCTTTTTTAAGGACAAAAGATTTGTAAATCCAGCCTTTTTGTTTTTAATATAAGTCAGGGCAGCCCACGGAAGGTTGTGAATTATGAAAAATTACCAAACTTTTGTACTAATAATTTACAATTATTGCCTTACCAGAGTTTAATGGACATTTTCAGAATTCTGCTAAGAAATCTGACTGCCATGCACCTCTGCACACATGGCAGGTTCCCACTGAGCATGCTGACAGACACACATTTCCAGTGAAGGTCTTATTGTTTTGTTTAGTTGTCTAATAGACTTTACTTTTTAGAGTAGTTTTCAATTCACAGCAAAATTGAGAGAAAGGTATATAAATTCCCCAATGCCACCTGTTCCCACGCATGCATAGCCTCCCCCATTATCAGCATCCCCCACCAGAGAGGTGCCCTTACTTTCGATGAACCCACACTGACACAGCATAACACTGAAGTCCACAGTTTACATCACAGTTCCATCTTGGTATTGTATGTTCTATTGGATTGGATAAATGTATAATGACATGTTTCCATCATTAGAGTGTCAATCATAGTAGTTTCACTGCTCTAAAAATCCTGTGCTCTGCCTATTCATTCCTCTTCCTTCTTCTCTAACTTCTGGCAACTTTGATGATAAAATTCTTATCAAGACTCTGACACATTTATTCTGTTTACTATTAAAGTCCTACCTTTAATAATGATCAGACAAACTAATGAATTTTAATTATGTGAATTCAAAACCAGAGAAGAATGGAATACTTACTTTATTACCCTAAACTATAAAGTATTGTTTTAAGGAGATACTCTGGCGGCAATACTTTATTTTAAAAGATTTATAAGGTATTTGCTACCTACTTTGAACTTGCCAAATGCAAAAGAGTTTGGCTGCAAAATAATTGGAATGCTAATTATATACTGCCACCTAGAGGTAATGCAATGATGGCAAATAAAACTGTTTTCTAATTAGTGGTTCAAACATATTTTATTTAGGTGAAAACATCATTGGGATTAATGCAATAATTGTTCTGAATAACTTCCATAGTGCAGTGATCAGTTAAAAAATTCATGGTAATTTCTTTTTTTTAATAGATTTTTAATCTCCTTTGCAAAGTAAATCAAAAGCACTTTATTATATCCAAACTCTATACAATTTGATACAGTTTTATAAAAATTTTGATGATAAATTCTTATCAAGACTCTGGCACATTTATTCTGCTTACTACAACAGGTGAATTCATATCTAGTAAACAGATTTTATTTTCTTAAGATCTCAATGTTACTAAGCTGCCAGTTAAGACATTTAAAAAAAGAATTTTTATTAAATGTTTTTAAATTCTTTAAATATTAGGAGTGTGTGTGTATGATGATACTGAAGTAGAAAACAAAATGGCCCATAATTCTACCTTCCAGATGACCATGTTGACATTGGAAAAAAACAAAGTCAAGGTATTATAAGAAAATCAAAAGCAATCTCTTGCCACTGTGTCTCTGTGTCTGAAATAACCACTATTCATTCCACTGTGAGTTTAATGCCTGTAATTATAGAAGAAAAAAAGTGCATGAGCCTTTATTTGCATATTTGAACAGTTTGATTGAATTACACTCATTTGTTGAGACATAATACGGGAACATTTAACTTTGTCAATAACTGTAAGCAGCCATACTTTTCAAACCCCTTTCTTGCTGAGGAGTAAGTTCACTTAAGGACCCTTTCATAACTTTTTCTGAATCTGTTTCATAACTATTTCCCCCTTTTAGTCACTAGAATCATCTCATTCTGGTTATTAAAACATATCTTCTTCACTTTAAATTGCATGCTCCTCTTATCAGACCACAGGCCTATGGAAGTGGTGAGAGGTGTTGGGAGGGGAAGACAATGATTTTTTTCCTTTGCTTGTACATTTCATTTTACAGAAATAGAAGTTGACTTAGTTCTTTCTCCAGGCAAAATCCACGACTAGCCAGCAGGTCTTAGCCGCTCTGACCCCGGCTGGTCTCAAGCGTGCCTCCAATGAGGAGCCAGGGGGGCTCCAGGTGGCCTCGGCCCTCCTCCCGTGTTATTTCCTCTGAGTATCTGGTTTGACCATTGTGAACTGAAGAAAAGGAATTCAGTTAGGGGTTAACCTTTGAAACCTGACTATCACGGAGCTCTGGCCCAGCCCACTATTATTAATGTAAAATAACATACATATTATACTATAACTGTATGTTAAAAGCTTTTAAAATATAAATGTGTGTTTTTTAAAGGTACCATTTTTAGTATGTACCACTACCTAATTCCTTTCGAATTATCTCAAGCATGTGTTTTTCTTCCCAGGCTAATTCACCTAAATAAGGCTGACCCCCATGCTCCAAATGAATTGCTCTATGGACGAGTGGGCTACATCTATGCTCTTCTCTTTGTGAATAGGAACTTTGGAGTAGAAAAGATTCCTCAGCGCCATATTCAGCAGGTACCAGGTTTTTGTGCTTTTTGGAGTCTTTTTTTTTAGGATTCCACTTACCGTCTACCAAAACAGTTGACTTTATTTCTCCAATTAAGACCTCCAAGTAGCTGGTAGGTGTATCTTGAACTCTAGATGCCGGGCATGATAACAAACAAACTAACTAATAGCTACATGTTGAGTTCTGCTGGAAACGCTGGGGAGAGAGACTCAGTAAGAAGTCCAGCCATGTGAGAGTTCAGAGGCGCTTTCCAAGAAGAGGAGGGAGTTTCACCTTCCGGGTGCAGGTGCCTCCTTTGGTGCCGGAGGAATCACGCATTCCTTTGACAAGTGAATCCTTGTAAGCTGCAGTGAAAAGAGTTCAAGATCTTCCATACCCTCCCCTATCCGACAGAATACAGTCACACCGCTCTGAGTGATGAATTAACTGCCCTTCCATGGCCTAAGTTGGTATCCATTCACTTCCCAGGATCTAATCTATTCAAACAGGTCTGACCTCCACCAGCAGGGTTTTTACTTTAATTCTCCCATTATTTTGGTTGCTTTTTTCTCTGTAGGTTTGTGAAACGGTCTTAACATCTGGAGAAAACCTAGCTAGAAAGAGAAACTTCACAGCCAAGACTCCACTGATGTACGAGTGGTACCAAGAATATTATGTGGGGGCTGCTCACGGCCTGGCAGGGATTTACTACTTCCTGATGCAGGTAAGGGGATGGTGGTGACACTTGAACGTGTGCTTCCTGAGGTGACTGTCAAGGTCAAAGGACAGGTGCTCCAGCTCCAGTTTTCATTCTGTCGACTCCTATATCACTCTCCTTGTAATTACCTGGCCTAAACTAGTGGTCGGCAAACTCGTTAGTCAACAGAGCCAAATATGAACAGTACAACGATTGAAATTTCTTTTGAGAGCCACATTTTTTAAACTTAAACTTCATCTAACGCCACTTCTTCAAAATAGACTCGCCCAGACCATGATATTTTGTGGAAGAGCCACACTCAAGAGGCCAAAGAGCCTCATGTGGCTCGCGAGAGCCTAAACCAACAAGAATAATATTTGCCAAGGTGCATTTCAAGTGAATAAATATAAAAGGCACCGTGCCTTGAGATGATGTTTGATTTGTGGATGACCATACTTGCCTAGGTCCACTTGTCTAAAGTGTTTTGACCGATTCTTCTTCTTATGTCACATTGTAAGGCACAACCCATTGAAACAAATTCCAGGAGTTAGGCCAAAATCAGTAGAAAACAAATGAGCATGTGTTGCATAAGGCTCACTTAGACAGCAAGGCCTTTCCAATGGATTTTGTATAACCTACCTGAGAAATAGCTGCGTAGGCTATGCTCACCGTTCTTTAGATCAAATACTGCTGTGCGACATCAGCCAAAAGTCACACAGACTAAGGACAAACAGAATTCACTGCAGCAGCATAATCGGAGGGGGAGGTCAGAAGGGACTTGTCATGAGAGCGTCATTCCTGGGGCTCACTTAGCTCTCTTTAAGGATAAATTGGCACTTGTGAATAAGAGTTTATGGCAATAGAAAATTGATTTTTAATGGTAGCAGAAGTGTCCTCCTCACCTTCCCAAAGCACAGTGTGGCATAAGGAGAAGTGTTTCATCAATATGTTCAACATGAATGCTTAGACATACATACTACTAACTGGTTGAGTAGCTGGCTATAATAATGCAAAATCAATGTCAGACCTGCCTTTTCCCCATCACTAAACAATGACAATGATGCTGGAAAACTCAAGGTTATTATTGCTTTTAAATGCAAAGTCACACTTTGATGGTTAGTGGCAATAAGAGACCAACTATTGTATTTATTCTACACTTCTTAATTAAGAATTTTATAATTAGGGATTTCGACAGTTTAGACTTAAATTCCTTTATTTTCTGATAAATCCCCTCAGTAATGCTCTATTTCCAAAAATAAATATAACTCTTAAAAGTTTTCAGGAAAGGAGAGTTCATGTCTTCTGAAGTTTCGAGGTGAGTTGAATCACACGTGTCAGTGACTAAACCGTCACATGACCTTTCATTGAAGTAGGTCATCAGGAGCTTCTGACCTCTGCCTTCTTTGCTCTGTAGGGAGAAATCTGGAAAGCCAGCTACTGAGTTTCCCATTGGCAGACTGTTATCTATTTTAAATTATTTCATTTTTGGTCCTATAAAAGTTCATTCCAGGAGGTGCCTATGTGTCAGCATAAAGCAATATATGTTTTGGGCATTTTGGATAATTCCTGAAAATTTGAGGAGAATCCACTCATTCTACACTAGCATTTTAAATTGAACTTGAATAATATTCTTTGGATCAAGTGACTCTACATGTCCCCAAGGAGCTCAGTGCACGTTCAGTGTCTGAAAGCCTTGTCATCTGTGTGGCCTAATTCCCTGCCACCACAGCCTCCTGCCTGTGCTTCACCCACTGCCCCCGTCATCCCCACAAATTCACCCCTGCCTGGCAAAGACAACACTTGGAATTTGTAATTTAAAGAAGTGAGCAGTGCTTTGAATCAGAAAGAGAAACTAGAAATTCTATCAAAAATGGAGGCTCTTATGCTCTGTTTCAGTGTGTCCTATAAATCTGTACATTGTTGTATCAAAATCATCCTGTGTAAGTATCAGTCCCAAAGGCTTTGCAGAAAGGCTTGGTCTAGAGCAGTGGTTCTCAACCTTTCTAATGCTGCGACCCTTTAATACAGTTCCTCATGTTGTGGTGACCCCCCAACCATAAAATTATTTCGTTTCTACATAACTGTAATTTTGCTAGTTAATGAATCGTAATGTAAATACCTGTGTTTTCCGGTGGTCTTAGGCTCTGCAGCAGTGATTCTCACCTGTGGGTTGAGAACAGCTAGCAGGCTCGCCTACAGTCACACAGCAGTTTGGAATCTAGATTCCAGGTCTTCTAACTTGTTCGTACCCTTTTCCATCGGAAACATCTAAATGTAATAACGGAAGTTCTTCTTTGTGTGTGGACCTCTCTCTGGGCTTTAATGTATGCTGGAGGAATGAAAACTTTTCTTAACACTCTCTCAACTACATATTATATGTATGTAGATAACAAAAACTGAAAAATAATATGGACATGAGGCCAAAGAGTTAACTGATAGCCTGGTTTAATGTGTTCCAGTAGATGAAATAATTGGATGAAATCCAAAATTTCTTAATGACTTCCAATTCCTTCCGGTCCTGTTTTCTTTCTGGCTTAAAACTCATTCCTGGGGCTCAGGAAGATCTGTTTGCTTCAGCAGAACTAATAATTCCCTTTCTCACTCTTAGCCCAGCCTTCAAGTGAGCAATGCCATGCTGCACAGCTTGGTCAAGCCCAGTGTAAACTACGTCTGCCAGCTGAAGTTCCCCTCTGGCAATTACCCTCCTTGCGTGGGCGACTCTCGGGACCTGCTGGTCCACTGGTGCCACGGCGCCCCTGGGGTCATCTACATGCTCATCCAGGCCCATAAGGTGTGTGAGTTTTCTCCTCCTAGGGATACATTGGAAAATATAGCATAAAGTTCTAAAATTTTAAATTCATGTTATGCATAATCCTTAAAGGAGCAATAGATACATCACTTGTCAGACTCGCTGTTTGCTAAGTGGATTATAACCATTCTCACAGTGTCTGTCTGCACCAGAGCAGACACTGTTTCACGGCGCAGGTGTCTGCTTCCCTGACAGCTAGAGGAGCCAAGATTGTAGCCTGAGTTGCAGAGCTGTGATGAGTCCCCAGGAACTCGATGAGAAAAATAGAACGAATCCACCTCACACGTAGCTGGTGGGAATGGAGAATGGTGGCTCCTCAAAAAGTTCAGTTTAGACTTAACATATGATCCAGCAATTCCACTCCCATGTATTTAAAATCAAGGATCCAAACACACTGGTGTGCCATGTTCCGCAGCAGCAGCATTCACAACAGCCAAAAGGTGGAAATAATTCCAAGTGCCCATCAGCACACGGATGGACAAAATGTGGTCTCTGCCTACAGCGGAACAGTGGTCAGCCATGCGGTAGAGTGAACTTCTGATCTAAACTAGAGCGTGCATCCATGAACAATGAAAACATTATAAATTACAAATCCACAGACAGGCATTTCATAATCTCAATAAGCTTTAGAATATCAAATTTTACTTTTAGAAACTTGGAAAATCTTTTAAAACTGCCTTGATGTTTAAGATCACTTAGTTTGCAATGAGATACTTAAAATGTCTAATCAGAATATTCCTCAAGTCTTAGATTAAGAAATAGGCGTCCACAAAAGATTGACCAAGTGCAGTGTTTTATAGCCAAATCAGTTTTGTAATCAACTTGATGTGCACAGTTTCTCCTTCAGAATGTAAAGAAACTTCCTGTTAAGGGCATCACTGTTACCGAAGAAGGGAGCATGTGTTCTTTGGGAAGTGACTAATGATAACAGCACGTTTCAAGTAAAATAAGGCTACTTCACCAATAACACACACACACACACACACACACACACACACACACACACACACACTTAAAACTTAGACCATGCAAACAAGGTCATGCATGCCTGGTTACTTTTTTTTTTTAAAGCTAGCGGTTTTGTAATTTGTCCCCACTGATGTACTACATCTCTGTACCTCTAAATCTTTTATTGTTTCTTGCCAAGCCACTTCCCTCCCTCCTTCCTCCATCTCCCCTTCTTTCCTATAGAGGAATACTGATAGAATTTTGTTTCCTTTAAAATAAAACCATGTCCCTGACCCTGCAGGTATTCAAAGAGGAACAGTATCTCAACGACGCCTATCAGTGTGCTGATGTGATCTGGCAGCACGGGCTGCTGAAGAAGGGGTATGGGCTGTGCCATGGCACTGCAGGCAATGCCTACGCCTTCCTGGCACTGTACAACCTCACGCAGGATGCCAAGTACCTGTACAGGGCCTGCAAGGTAGGAGCCAGAGCCACAAAGGAAAGCACCTCTCCCAGAGGCTGAAGAAAGGTTTCTAGCTAATCTGATTTAATCCATTCATTTGTTAAATCATTTCTGTGGGGCACACAATTATTTAAGAAAAACCTTCAGAACCATTCAGTGGAATTATCTTTCTTTTAAACGAACATAATTCTATTCAATAGCATTTCTGAGAGAAAAAGAAAGAAGGATGGTTCCATTCCTTCCTTTCTTCTATGTTAAGCTTGGAGATGTATGGCTCAGATAGCTCATTAAGTTCCCTTCATGTTTCGTACTCTTCTAGGCCATGCATTTCTCTGCATTAACTCCCTTCCCTGCCTTGAAGATAGTGTTTTACTTTTTAGAATAATTCCTATGAACAACGTCTATCAACTGGAGGGGGTCTCTGGAAGAAATCACAGCAGTAATTTAACTCGATCTCATTTTCAGTTTGCCGAGTGGTGCTTAGATTATGGAGACCATGGATGCAGGACGCCGGACACCCCCTTCTCCCTCTTTGAAGGTATTTTTCCACGTGACTCACTTGCCTTATGATATCCGCGTCCACTGCTCTGCTTGCTAGTTAATGTATTTAAATCGGAGTTTAGCAACAAGTTAATTTTGTAATCTCTTAAACTACTTCCTTATTTCCTAATACACCAGCTCAGTATTAAAAATCAGTGAGCAGTGGACTAGCACCGACCTCACACTAATAGCCATAATGGTGACTACCATTATGGAGCCAGTCATCAGCTAGGCATGATGCAGATGTCGTCATAAATCTCAGCAAAAGCGTACAGACGTTATCCTCACGTCTCAGGTGTGAGGACAGGTAGGTGACGCTCACTGCTCACATAGCAAGTGGCAGGGCTGTGCCTTGACTTGTCTGGGTCCAGCCCCGCTCCTGTCTTCCACTGGATGAAGCGGCTGCACACCTCACTGCTGATCTCCTCTGCTATTGAATTGCAAGGAATGTAAATATAGACAGATGCCCACCTCATGTCAGTCATTGCCATTAATATCGTAAAATTGGTGCTGCAAATGAAGCTGCTCTCTGAAATGGAGTCATTCGGTATATTAACTTTCCCCTCTCTCCTTCAGGAATGGCCGGGACCATCTACTTCCTGGCCGACCTCCTCGTGCCCTCCAAAGCCCGGTTTCCCGCATTTGAGCTCTGAAAGGACAGCCTGCCCACAGCTCATGCATGACCCTTTCTGTGTGTCCGACCTGAGCTACATGCTATCAGTGCTTTCCAATGAAACAGTCAGACTGTACTTGGTTTAGATTTTTTTTTCCAGAATTTGTCTTTAGTTCACTTCCCTTTTATACCGTTTATTTTTATTTTGAAATATCCAAGGAAGTCCTTTAACTTTAATTTCACTTTTTTCCAAAAAAGAAGCTGGGCGATATGTACAATATTTTGAGGGCATATATGTATATATATTTTATAACTTGGAGGAAGTCTTGCTCTTATTTAAGCTTCTGAATATAATTGTGTATTACTGTTCTAAAAATGGTTAAGAGAAACTGAATGTGGATAACAGATAAATATATGATCATTGTTAGACATCGCCCTCTACCTCTGCTCTTTAGTATTTTTTTCTCCAACAGGACAGTTTTATGACTTTGCTTTTCTCTGTGTGGCTGATTATGAAAGGGAACAAAAATATCACTGTGCTTCCAGGACAAAAACTGCAGGAGTTGAGAACTGCTCTCGCGACCTACATGCCATTTTTTAAATTCCCAATGCTTATTTAAACTAGAGGTCAGCAGGCTTTGCCACGTGCCCCTTTTGGTTAGGAAAGCATCCAGGCTCTAGTCGTGAAAATTCTGCTTTGAAGGTTAGTTCTAGATAAGCTGATAAGAGTTTATTGTGTGTTATTTTTCTAAAATAAGCCTGTGCAGTTTGTAACTATTTAAATTTGCTTGTTCTTTAGAATTAGTTTAAGATCAGGAAACCAGTGTTCAGGCTGTGAGTATGTCGTAGCTGAGGACTCGAGTCCACCCTGTCCCATTGGCCTTCCAAACTTTGGCTGTGTGTCACTTGCTTGGCAGTGACTTTGCTCTCGTGCTGGCTGGCTGATGTGAGCCACGTTTCCCCTCCTAGCAACCTATCTGGACGTAGGTCTTTTCACTAAGTAGTAAAACAGTCTAATTCTATTTAGAAGGAGGGAGTGGTGCTGTATGTATAGCCATTAGTTTGAAAAAACAAAACACTAAGCTTCTGATATAAATCCAGTGATCATGCTTAGAACAAATGGATCCTGCCTTTTTGCATATGTTAGGCTTTACATTCATCAATTTCTGAGCCCTCGGATTAAGGTATTTATATAGTAGATGCAGAATCCCTGGTGTTTCATGTCTGTACAAATGTTTTGACTCATCAGCTTCTCTTCCTTCCATTGCTGCCTTTCTCTAGCTTGTCTATTTGCTCAATGTTTTGACTAATTTTAGAACATTTTGCAACTTAAAAAAAAAAAAAACAGGGTCTAAAAATTTTAAATGTGCCTATCTCACAGTTTTCTCAGTCATAAAAACATGCTATTTCTTATTGGAAGTTTGAGCCAAAACCCCAATGAGTGTGTTGATTCCTGCAGTCCCCTATTGTTTTCCATGAAGCATCAAAATAGCTAATATTATTGGAATTTTTCTAAGCCTTTAAAAAGGGGTGGGGAACCTTTTTTCTGCCAAAGGCCATTTGGATATTTATAACATCATTTGCTGGCCATAAAGAATTATCAACTTAAAAATTAGCCTGCTATATTTGGTCAAACATTTTATTAACTCACCCCTAATGCCTTGGCAGGGCCAGACCAAATGATATCGCAGGCCTTACATGGGCCAGAGGTTCCCCACCCCTGCTTTAAAGGCAAATGGCGACCGGGTCTAAACAACAGCTCACTACTCAAGTCCTGGGACTCACTGTCCTCTGTGACTTGTGCTGTTCGGGGACAACCTCGTGCCTCCTGCGTTTCTAAAGTGCTGCTGAGCCATGTGCAAGCTCTGCCTTCCCAGGAGCGGGTCAGCGGTGGAGTCAGCATCCACGGGAAAGCTGATTTGCCTTGGCGGGTGTCTAGCTGGAAGGAACGAAACCCACTTGGTTTAGTGAACCATCTTCATCTACTGTGCCTGTGCTTTCAGCAATTACAGTTACTAACTAAAGGAATAAGAACAAAACAATTTCTCCTGGCAGAGACTTGATCACAGTGCTTCTCCAAACATTCTTAGTCAGTTTAAATTAATCAATTTAACCCCAGGAAGACTTCAAGGCAGGGAAAAGAATGTTTTGAATAAGGTTCTTATTAATATTTGAATTACAATCTGGCTACTGTCATCCATTATCAAATTCATCAGTAGAAACACAATTCAGGTACCCTTTTTTTTTCTTTTTAGGACTTAAAAAATTGGCAGGACTTTATGTTTGTGTCTTTGTTGTTTTTAATTTTTATGCATAAGAGCTGAGACAGTTTGATAGGACTTTAACTTCGGCAAAGGCTATAAACTAAGACCGTAGTAGAAATTGAAAGAAACTTTACACTAGCTTTCTTAGTTTTAAAAGGAAGAGGCATCATTTCGGTTGTATTTCTGTTGTATCATTTTTCACAAATATATTTTTCTTTTTGGTCAAAAATGAAAAGAAAAAAAACTTCCCACAACTTGCCTCCCGGAAAACCCAATAGTGCGCCTCTCCATGAAAAGCCTGGGTGTACAGCCAGGAGAGCGTGCGGCAGAGCGTTCATTCGGCCTGCCTGTGTTTGTTCCTGTAGCGATGAAAATGACAGTAGTTAACTTTTCATCATGGAAAAAATGCTAACATTATCATAACTATCTTCATCAATCCCGTTGGGCTTTGGTCTCCTCCAGGTTGTCTGTCTCTAATCCTCAGAGTCATTTGGCTCCCTTTTCATCTCTGATGTCAGTTCCAATTATTTGGCATCAAAAGCCTTCATGGTAGGTAGAGCGTTGGGTAAAAATGGATCGAAGGCTCTTTTCTCTCCTTGCTGCTGCTTTCTCGTGTAGCTCTATGGATGGAGATCCTTTGCTCCCAAGTCCTCAGGCTAGTAATTTGTGTCTAGTCTTGTGATGCCCTGCTTTCTACTAGCTGACTTTTAAATACAACACGTTATCTATTCCTTTGTAGTCCTCTGTTACTCATACTGAATTAATTCCACTTCTGCTCCCCCTAAATAGGTCAAAGCATGCCTTCCTATATTGCTAAGCTGTAGAACTGTTCTCTTCCCCGCCCCTCCCCCCTTATAGGTATAAAACTGGGATATTCAGGGAACACATCCAGTGTTGCATTGCCATTTATTGGGAAGGGCTGGGATCATATGTATATCTATGTTCTGTAAAGGATTTGACTTACTGGTTCTCAATAAAATTTTATTAGGACTATTTATCGTCTTGAACTTTTTGTTTGATTTGGTTTCTCCATAAGAATATTGACCTTCAGTGGTAAATGATGGCTTTTTCTCTATACTCTCACCCCCTGCAGTTTCTTCCTGACTTTTTCTTCATTGTTGGGTGAAACAAGATTGGCAGTACTTTCTGAAAATAGAAATGTATTAGAGGAAAATATTTTTAAATCTGATCATTATAGAATTAGGAATCCACCCTGTGGCTAATAACTAAAGGCATAATTCTAGAAATTGATTTCCCTGATGACAGCTCTAAAAGGAACTTGGAATAGAGACGATGACTTGAGGCATAATTATAAACTGTGCAGAGGATAGAAAGGAAGGAGTTCTGCTGAATCACCTGGCATACCTTGTCCCACTTACTTTCATGACACAGTCCTGTAGTGTCACTTAGCACAACAGGAGACCTGCCAGATTATACGATACCTGTTTTCATCCCTGAATGAGGTTTTGTCATCGGGTGCATATGATTAAAATGCCCTTCATACGCCCCTGGTCTATTGTCTGAATGACTCATAATACTAAGGATAAATGCACATTTTTATTTCCCTTCTTTGATTGGATGAAGGTATAGAAGGCAGAGTCACATCTTTGATGTGGGCAATGAGGCGTGGAGAGGACAGCCTCAGAGAAGCCACCCAGATATTCCTCAAGTGATGCCTGGAGCATCCCCGCTAACTCCACAGGATTACATCTCAGTTGGGAAGGCCAGCCAGCACTGCCCTCTGGCTCACTGTGCCCTGGCTCCTCTTCCCACACAAGAAAAATAACGGCAAGTGCATTCGGTTGTACCACAGTTGTTATTTCATGAACAAACAAAACCTAAAGGAGTAATTTGTCCCCTGCTTCTTAGCAATGGTTTTCTAACTTGGCTTTAGAAAGGCCTCCTTCCTTCTTCTCGTACTCTCTGAATATAAGAATAATATTTGTGTCATTTCTATTTCCCTAGATATTTGCCACTGTGGAGTCAGTGTTATTAAATGTCTCATGAGTTCTTTGCTCTCATAAGCATCATTTAAACAGAAAATCCTAACAGTCAATCCCCTGATAATTGGCTTTCTCATTGTTTCTCATCCACATTCGCTGTCTTCCTTTTAAAGCTGAGGTCAATAAAGTGAGAGAACCTTGGCTTTTTACAAGAGAGAACACGTTGGCTTCATCGGACTCATTATTGAAACGTTATTTTCCAGAAGCCCCGTGCTGGTGCATCCTCGGGGTCTTATTTGACAATTTTGTGAGTAATGGGAGAGAACGGCAAACACAATAAACCAGGAGGCAAAATAATGAGACTAGACAAATGGATCTTAGCAGGACCACTGCTCAGAGTCAGCCAGTTTAATTTCACATTCCTACATTACGTTAACTTTCCGTCCACATGCAAACTACCATCCCGGTGACACTAACTCTGCAGCTAATGTTCTATCACTCTACCAATAAGTATTAGAGACAGCACCTGGGAGGTACACAGTCATTATGCAGGGAAGGCAAGATTGTTGATAAATTCCTTTATAAAGGATGGTCACAGTTGCCTCATTTCACTGATGGAGCTGGGATACTAAGAAAGGCATCTGTCACCCCCAAAATACTGATGTGGCTCATTGTGGAAGTTCATGGTTCCTATTGATCTCTCAGGTTCCACATTCAGGAATTAACACACACACACGCCTGCTGATATCATCCAAGCTGCTGGCAGTCTGTGTAAATGGCTGGAAACATGCCTTTGTATCTAATGGTGCCATGAGCAATGCTTAAAAACCACT